GACTTTAAAGGACTCAATTCGATGGTATTGTTTTGTGGTTATGTTACGCGATTACCCGACATATTTGTGAACAGATTTCTGTTGTTTTTTTTTTATTGGAAAGGAGCTGCATCGGTAGTGTTTTTATTCAAATTTGTACAAAATTTTCCACTTCTAATGACGGAAAATTAAAGATGAGTCCCATTATATTTCACCCACTTTTCGTAAACCGATTTTAATAAAACTTGGCAAGTGGATGTAATTCCACAAACTTTTGGAGGTCGGTTTTTTATAACAAAGTTATTATATTGGATCGTTGTGAAAGAGCTTGTCCAAGGAAGTACTGCTACCTTACCTATTTCTGCCGCCAAGCACAAATCTGACCATTACTGCGTTCCGGTTTGGAAGAGTGCTGGTGAAATTACAGGTACATGAGACTTCTTAACTTATGTCTCAGATATTTGCGATTTAAAGCTCTGAGTGGCGCTGCAACTGCCATGGATAAAGTTAAAGTCAAATGATTTATTCACCAAGACAACACAGTACATTACCTATTACACCTATCTACCTATTATATATTACCTACCTATTACATTACTAAGTCACATTACAAAACATACAGACTTAAATTATACAGGTATACTTAGTAAAGTCTTAACAATATGATTGTTTAAGAAAATGAATATTCACTTAGATTTGAATCCAAAAATTCGTTGATTTTATAAAAAGCGTGATTTTCAAAGTAAAGTTTTAATGTTTGCTTGAATGTCGCCATTTCCAAGTCACATACACTAACTGGTAGTTTATTGTATATATTAAGTTTCATATTTACGCCCTGTTTTAACGTTTTTACTAAACTGGTTTTATTTGTTACTAGTTTATGTTTACTTCTCGTGTTATATGTATGTATGTCTGATATCTTTGCCATATCATATAGACGTGTCGCTTACCACCTTGTGCACGACTTGTTCTTCCGCCAATTGGTATAATAATAATAAAAGTTAATAATAAAAATAACTCACACACATACATAGGTAGACAATCACAAATTAAACTCAAACTTACGAGAGAAATAATTTAGGCCATAATATTTCTCGAATCGAACCCGGGACCTCTGCGTGGCAGTCCAGGAAGGTAACCGTTCGGGCACGAAGGCAATTGATGAGTTATAATTATATTACACCAACAAGAGTTTAGCTATTCGAAAAAAAAAAGGAAACTGCAATCTTAATAGAGTAACAACGGTATCTATTAGTCATAGACATTATAAAACGGTGATAAACACAATGAAACAATTCAATAAATAATTACACATCTACATAGTGTCTCGATGTTTCTAAATAAAATGATACGACAGTTTTAGATAATTCCATGAAATCGTTTAGTGTATAGTTATTTCGTTTTGAGATAGATTCTGAAATTTTATATTTAAATACAGTCATTCGGGAACAAAACTGAAACTAGGTTTTCTATCACGTCAATGTAAAATTTGTTATTCAATCCTTCTGACATTTGAAAAAGGATACTTGAATTTAAAGTTGTGTATCTGCATTAATTTTTACGTCGAACACCACATTCAAAATGATGAAAACAAAAAGAAAAGTAGTACAAAACATTGGCGATAATTTGTCTAGGGTAATTTGTACAAGATATTTATATTATAGATAATACAATGTGATATAAAAATTATATTTATCAATCATCAATGATGATTGATAAATATAATTTTTGCGACCAGCAATGTTTAAAATATTTTAATTTAATTATTTATGTCGGTATATTATAAATACATCAGGTTACTATCATAATTTTAATGAAACTATCATTTATTACTAAAAACACAAACTTTTTTTTATAATGACAAGCAAAAGTAAAAAAGAAACACTGCTTACCTCATCTCTCCTTTCTTTTTGCAAAGAAATATCCACACAAAACCGTTCCCGGCTATATATACCGGGAAATAGTCCAATAAAATGAAGCACCAGCTTTTATAAAGACATATTTGAAATTCAATGCGGTTGTGAAAAATCAATTCGTTTTAGAAGCCGAAATGTATCTTTAAATTATGCACTCCGTTGAGCAAGTGGAAGGTTGCATTTTTTATTCAAAGTTTAGATTCTTCATGCGGTTAATCTTTTGAGTATTCTAAGCTTTATGTCCGTGGAAATAGCACTTTCCTATTGACGTAAAAGTTACAGTAATATGTTCATTGTTCATTTATTTAACCATGAGTAACATTTTTGAAAAATGTAGTCACGTCACTTTAAACGACGTCCTCCAATATTTAACACATTTTTAAATTTTTAATTCGATATTTGAACTTGAACGCATATAAAAAATAGTGATGGGAAAATAATATGCGCGTGACCGAGCGTACCAAAAAAATTTCGGACGAGACAGAATTGATACTGGTATTGATACGCGCAAATTGGAGTTTTGTGGTGCAATGTGCGTGTTGCACGCGCCGGCGGGCAACTGCAGTGAGCAGTGAGAAGCTAGCGATGCATCGCCGCTATCAAATAAACAAAAACTGCAACCGGGGTGCGTGAGCTTTGCTGTGCCGCCGATACTATTAATTCTCGGTATCAGTGACGGCTTTATTTTTACTAAGTTTCAACACGAGTATACCAATTAATCGCTAATGAAGATTGAGATATTACTCGTGAAACTAAAACTATTTAAAAAAAATTCATCTTATTATTATTTTCGAATTGTTATAAGGAAATATTCTTAATGAACATATAATACAGCTATGCTTAGTTATTAGTAGTAGCCGTAGAGCTCCTTGTGAAAGAGTTCGTCCAGGGCAGTACTGTCACGTCACACATTTCTGCCACTAAGCAGTAATGTGAGCATTACTACGTTCTGATTTTGGGACTTGTCAACTTATGTCTCAGGTTGACGGTCGCAGTAGCATTCCCCCTCAGAACTTCGAGATTTAAAATTCTGAGTGACACTGCGATTGTTATGAACAGGCATGTTATTTACCACCAGGGTCACTTGTTCATCCCATCTCTTAGTATCATAAAAAATAAGAATTACTTCCCTCCGCCTAAAATTTTTAAAATAAATAATACAAGCGCAACCAGAGTCACAGACACTACCACCAAAAATATATCCGACAAGAGTTTCGCATCACTACGAGACAATGATCTTAATTTAAAAAAAAAAATCAGAAATAGAAGTAATGCTAATAAGACATATAAAACTGTAAAATGTATTTAAAATTTTAAAAACATAAGCATTATTATTATTTTGTTATTTTTTTAACAACGGAATTGTATCACGAAGACAAATTAATAAAATGAAAATCGCTATCATACTATCAATCTACTTGAACAAACTAGAAGTTATCAAGAGTATATATAAGAGTATGTAGAATTTAAATAACTAAAAATATACCCATCAACGTCTTTATACCCACTTAATTAAACCATAAAGGAGAAAATAAAAAACTGCATGCGTGCAAGCCACACATTCTGTTTTAAATATAAACCGGTGACAATGGTCAGTCCGTCACTGAGCTAAATTGAGCGTTGACTTATCGATTTGTAACGATTTAAATCGATACTTACTAGAATCGATTCGGAGTTAAATATTATTGTAGATAATGGAGTATTAAAAACTGTATTGCATAACAATATTCAAAAGCTGACATAAAAAAAAGTATTTTGATCTTTGGTCTGTTCTTATCATAAGCGGCATCGTAAACGGCGGCAGCGGTAGAGTTGATTTTAAATCTTAACTGTGAAACTTAACGTGCTCCTGAACCTGTAACAAAAAAGATTGTTTTACAAATAACCCTTTGTAAACTTTGCCCACAGGTTTCAATTTGTACGTATAAGAGTGGTTACACACGGTGACTGTAAGCATCGATGTAAACGCGCGTTTGTATAGATGCAGTCGCGCGCTTGCATCGCTGCTTAAAATCGCGCGCGTGTGTAAAGGTAGACAGACGATTAGCGGCTGCATCGCTACTGCATCACGTTTGTATCGCTGCTAAGTCGCCGTGTGTAAACGCTCTAAGGAAACGGTACCTTATTGTTCAAATAAAAAAACATATTTTAACTAAATAAAGAAAATATTCTCGTATGATAACCGTTTCGTATCCATTAATATTAAATTCTACAATTAAAGAATAATTATAATTACGCTAAAACACCTGTCATTATTACACCTAAACCCTTAGGTGTAATAATGACATATGTACAAATCTCGCGAATGCGCCGCAAATGCATTTGTTTGCGAAAAGCTCGCGAACTGCGCACTTGAATTACGTAGTGCAATCTGTTCGCGTGCCATATATAGTATTTAACTGCACGTATGCAGCACGCGTGCAGCGCGCGCGCAGCGTACATGCTGCGCGCTCGCAACACATTCGCCAGATTTGCAGACCCTTTAACTGCAAAGAAAAAAATAAACTAACAGTATTTACAGATAAGCCACGTGTAAAGAACATTAAAAAAACATTTTGCAATATTTAAAAATGTAAATTAGGCTTAAATTTGTTAATTTGAATACAATTTAACAGTATGTTCATAACTTTTGTAATTCAGTACTAATAAAATATCTTATCAACAAACTGTAAACCTCATTGTCTGGACGGATTCATTTACTTCCATCGACGATAGTTAACGCGTTCAGAGAACCGATTAATTTATTATTTTAAAACATCCCTTTTCACGCATCCAATTTAAAATTTGACATCTTAAACATCCTTAAATTACACGTGAAATTATTTCATTAGCACCGAAGCATCAGCGGGGTTGGCTTTGAATTTATTGGACTGGGAATACATAAAGAGATCTAGCATAAATTTAAACCTCTTCAGCCAACTGTCTCGGCTTAATATAATTTAATTTATCATCATTTAAATAGCACTTAAGCTCTTTGTGAAAGAATTCGTTTAGGAAGTTCTGCCAAGCAGTAATGTTTAGCATTACTGCGTTTTAGTTTTGAGGCAAGAGTGCTGGTGAGATTGCAGACACATGGGACTTGTCAATTGATGTCTCAGGGTCACGGGCGCAGTGGCAGTGCCCCGAAAATCTTTGCGATTTAAAGCTCTGTGTGACACTACCAGGCGCATGACTTATTCGTCCCATCAGTTGGTATTATAACAAATAAAAAATTCAAAAATGTGCGCGTTCATCTGCGCTTATAAATAAACCTTTGAAGTAAGTGCACATAATACAAACATTGAACTTTAAAAAAGATTCGATGTCTTTTTTTATCTAGACTTTTGCTAATTTGAAATTTCGTTAACAGCCAACAAGCGCCCATCAAATACGTTAATTTATACAAGCCTTGCTTTATGGCGCGTTTACACTACTAGCTCGACAGGTCGCCTTCGTTTACCCCTAGTGTAGTGTAAAATCGACCGAGTCGACAAGGTGTAATCACTGTGAGGTGACTCGGTCGCCTTCGGTGACGGTTGATCAAACAAGTTTCGCGTGCAATACAGGAGGCCGGGGAATACCTACCTACTCGACGAGTTTGTTGAACGTTTCGTTGTGTCTCTCTGTGCGTAAACTTATAATACGTGACAAGATGTAAACAGCTCGTAGGCCGCACTGCCTTTGTCAGGCAAATTCGCAAATGTCGAACAGGCGGTAGTCAACTTTATGTAAACAACGCGTCGACTGCGTTGCTTCGGCAAAGCAAATTAATCGGTAGTTGACCCTGTGTAAACACATTATTAGTTTCGTAAAGATTTCTGGAACTAACTAAAGTATGTATATTTGCAATTTAAGAAATATTTATACTAAATATGCGTATGTTAAAATAAAATATTGAATGGCTTACTTAGTAGTATAGAACATCGCTCTCATAATCGCTTCTTATCTCTACAAAACGCGTAATCGGTACCAAGTTTTTTAGTTTTCGGCTTCGAAAGATGTAATCAACACGTCAGCGTGGCCCCGCCCTAACCTCTTCGCGTTAATAGGCAGATCTCGATATCAGATCACTTTGTAAATCATACCAAGTTTTAACACCAACAATTTCTTAGCATTTGTTCCAATTTGAACTTTATTACCTTTGTGTGAAAATAGTATACTAAGTTTTGTGATTGTATAATATAATTTAGTTTAGTTTATAAGTTAGTATTTATGGCGCTTAAAACAGTAATATCCTCAATGAATTTGTTTGTATAAATATTTTTAAAGTACTAAATATTAAAAATAAGTATGATATTGTTATTATATAAAAAAATACTGCACTTTCGCATCGAACTCCTTCCAACGTTGTCTGTTGTCTGCTGTTGTTGGATTTGGGACTGGATCACATGTCAGTCAGTAATCTTTAAAACAACAGACGTTCATACTGTTTGTGTTTTATTTGAGATTTGGTGACGATACTTCGTTTTTAATACAGTTGCTCAAAACGTGGTATTTTTCGCACTTCAAATCGTGCGGAAACTTGGATTTCTCGCACTAGTGCTTTTTACTTTTCCAGTTTTTTTTTAATTTACTGTTGTTTTAAGTCTTAAACATAGAACTAAAGAGATTGTATATTTATTTCATATTTATGTGCTTTGTGACGTAAGTCATTCGTCATTACTATACTATATCTATGGAGAGACCGCATTTTTACACCTATGAAGTAAATGCACCTTAGTAGCGATTATGTAGAAAATAAAGTAATATAAAATATAATTGTAAGTCAATGTATAAAATAGTAATTTTAATGTGGCTGAATACTGGCTACAGTTGCCATATTGAAAAAAGTCTGCCAAAAAAAGTACTAATTTTTTTCATCGTTTACATTCCCGCCTTTTTCATTAACTTTTTTACGATTTGATTTTGTTATTGACAAAGGAATAAAATGAGGTTTTTTTAAATACTGTTTTATTTTACTTTCAATGTAGGTTTTTCGCAAATGTATTAAAAAACGTTGTTTGATACACATGCGGATTTGTCATTTTCACTTGTCTCGAGTCTTGACCCTCGCCTCTG